GCTCCACACTGTACACACTACCATCATGTCAGTGGGCATGCTCCACACTGTACATGCTACCGTCATGTCAGTGGGCATGCTCCACGCTCTACACGAGACCATCATGTCAGTGGGCATGCTCCATGCTCTACACGAGACCATCATGTAAGTGGGCACACTCCACACTGTACATGAGACCATCATGTCAGTGGGCATGCTCAACACTGTACACACTACCATCATCTCTTTCCTAGGACCACATCTGCATTATGTAAAATAGCACACATGAGAAATACTGATTTCAATTTTGGCTAGTGATAGAAAGAAAAAAAAAAGCAGGAAACATCCAGAAAGTCAGCAAAAGAAAGAAATAGTCAAATAAAACACAGTGCGCCCAGACGATGTAACACCACTCCATAATGAGAGCCTCGCTTACTAGCAATCAAATGTAGTGATGACCTCACTTGGGTGAAAACTAAATGTGGGCCCTTATCCACAAAAGCCCCAAATAGAATTCTGCTCTGAACAGCTATAAAGGATTCGAAAAAAACACACCCGAGTGTGAGCAGCCCTCTTCAGAAGAGAAAATTTAGTTGGAGTATGGGAGACTGACTTTCCCACAGATGGTGGACTAGTGAATTTTCTGTTGGCACAATAAAATGCCATGACCTAAAGCATGACCTTAGTGAAGAAAGGATTTGTTTGGGTGTATGGCTCCAGGGGGTCAGAATCTGCAGCAGTTGAAGGTACGACAGCATGTACAGCTGGCTGATCACATTTTCATACACACAGGGGAAGCAGAGAGAAAGAACAGGAAATAGACCAAGACTATGCACGCCTCAGGCCTACCCTCTTCCTCCAGCAAGTCTCCACCTCTGTGTTGGCTCGTTTTCTGTCCACTTGGCGAAAAAGGAACCAACAAGTGAGAAAACGCCTCCCTAAGATTGGCCTGTAGTCAAGTCTGTGGCGTCTTGATTAACGGTAGACGTGGGAGGGTTCAACCCGCAGAGGCAGTGCTACCCCTGGGCATGTGGTCCTGAGTTGTATGAGAAAGCAAACTGATCAAGCCATGAGGAGCAAGCCAGTAAGCAGTGCTCCTGCATGGTCTCTACTTCAGCTTCTGCCCGCAGGCTCCTGCCTTGGGTTCCTGCCCGGAACTTCCTTCCTGACGGACTGTGATGCGGAAGTGGAAGCAAAATGAACTCTTTCCTCCTCAAGCTGCTTATGGTCATGGTGTTTATCAGAGCAAGAGAAACCCTAAGATACCCCAAAGGTCCCATCATCTCCTCCAAGAGCCCTCCCAAGTGGGGCCAAGTGTAGGCACATGAGCCTACAGGGAACACGTTTCACTCCAGACACCGCAGATGCCACACCAGCTTCAGCCTCCACACTCTTCCTGCATAGTGTGACAGGGTCCTGCAGGCTGGGCCAGGGTAGACTCTGTAGTTGCCTCAGGAAGGACAATATGGAGGAGAGGAGCTTGCCAACTGCCAGGGCTAGGCTAGCGAAGGAGGCCTCCTCTCCACCCTCTCCTCTCTCCTTTCCAGTCATCCACCATGCTTTGAGAACGCTCAGAGCATGTGGAAAGGCCACACAGACACTCCAGGCAGCAGCCTCTGTGGGTCTCTGTCAACCATTAAATGCAAGAGCAAGACTGTCTTCAGATGACCATGCTGCCCAGCTGTGGTCCAGGTGGGGCCCTGGATTTCTTCTCCTTGCCTTGTCTGAATTCTCTACCCCCAATAAGTGGGGCTTGTTTCTTGTGCACTATATTAGTTACCCAGCTACAAAGATTCAGTAGGCATTGATGTTCCCTGTAGTGTTTAAATATGTCCAGATGAAAGGGCTCACTGCCAGCATCTGGTTCTGTGGGCCTCTCTGGACCCATCAGGGGATTTCGGAAGCAGGTGACCACTAAGCACCAGGTGATCATCAGGGTTTTCCAGGACAGCCTGGGAGGATACTTCTGCAGTGTGCTTTTCTGC